ATCAAAGGAGAAACAAAGGGACATTAAGGTAGAACAAAGAGACATAGACCAGAGTGGAAAGTACCTAAATGCTTTAGATGCCAATAGACTTATAACAAACTAAATATAATACAGCCAATCAGCAGCTTAAGTTTTGTAATATGCATGAGCTAATTATGTAACCACATATAAGCCTTCTGATTATTGCCAATAAATGAGTTCTCGATGAACCAATGGGATAAGGTGGTCGAGTTCTTCCTTTTCCAACAGTGGTGTGCCCTTGCAGCAAAGGTGGCCAACCACCTGCAGGGCTGAGTTGGCACAGGTGCAGCCAGCAGGTCCAGGGAAGGGGTCCCTCCCCTCCTCTTGGTTTTGAGAGTCTCCTTGTGTGTTGCTTATGCTCAGCTGTGGAAAGCAGGACAAGAGAGAGGCTGACCAATGGGAAGGAGCCCAGGAAGCACCATCAGGGTGGTCATGGCACAGGAGGAGAGGCTGAGGAGCTGGGTTTGTTCATCCTGGAGACGAGATGGCTGAGTTGGATCTTGAGGGAGACTTTGCTTCCTGAGGGGAGCTGAACGGGGAGCAGAGCCAGACACTTCTCAGAGGAGCTCAGAAACGGGACAAGAGCAATGGGCACAGGCTGCATGAAGGGAGGTGCTGACTAGAGACAAGGGAAAAACGAGTTCCTCGTGCACGTGGTCAGAGACTGGAAGAGGTTGTCCAGATTGGTTGGTGTGTCCTCCCTCTGTGGGGGTATTCAAGCCTGTGGAGGTGTTAAAAAAACTCAGAATAGGAAAGATAATAGGAATATATGCTAGTGTTGCTGAAAATTTCTTTTACAAAGTTAGCTTCAATCCTGCAGGCATATCCTACTAATCATACTGATCTCAAATCCTGGTTGGGGCTCCGCATGTTTTTAGAGGTTCAAATGCATAGTGACACGTGGTGTGGACCATCAACTGCCTCTCCAGCTTTCTGACTTTGTAAGATGTTGAGAATTTCTACAACAGAAATTTACGGTTTTGGTTGGGGAAAGAATTGAATACTACCAAAGGGAAATTACTTTCCCTGAGCTACTGTTCACAGATGAAGATAGGATTTCTTCACCACTGCTATACATGGTTTCTTCTGTTTTGCTGTACATTTTAAAGAAATTACTCAGAATTACTGGCTTGGTGATATTTTAAAGTGAACAGTTCAAATATAAATTCTAAAACTATAGATATAATGCAGATTGCAGTGTTGATATGTTGCAAATGGATCACACTCTACGGATTTTTTTAGAAGTGGTACAAAATTAGTCTATATATATTTCAGTCTTTATAGAAGTTCTAAATATTCTTTTATTTTGATTGTAAAAAAAAAATATATAAAAAGGATGGCTGCATTGAAATGCCTGTCTGATTTGTATAGGCCAGTAAGCTGAATTGCATGTGATGAAATTGAGAGATGTCGCAAGGGCTCTCAGCCAAGCCAGCCATCCCTAGTATAGCTTTCTTTGAGGAGCAACATTACTCACTGCACTTATATGTCAGGTGAACCTATTAATCAGGTGGAAAAGTTTCCTCTTCTTGTTGGAGTAAGGAAAATTTCCATGCCAGTGCTTTCATTTTCCAAGGGTGTAGTGAGCTGAGATTTTTTAGTTTAGTTCCCATGGGTCATGTAAGGTTACCACCCTTACAAGACAGTGTTCTAGAATGGCATTTTTTTTTTATTTCTGACCCTGTCTTAGCACTTCTATTCTTCAGAGCCTCAGAAGGTGTTAGCTGCCAGGTCAGCCTACCAAAAGTTGGAGTTGCTACTGTAGTGTTTACATCTCTCTCTGAGTCCTTGACAAGGGTTTTGGAGAATTTTGTTGCCTTCAGACCAATGCTATTAGTGGCTTTATCTTCATTGTGGTCCATAGGATGGTTTTGAAGAATTGAGATATACAGTGCCTTACTCTGTAGTTCCCTTCCATGTGCCATCAGGCCAGGAAGGGCACAGTTCCTTCTGCCAAAGATGATCTTAGAGAATTATCTCAGGCAAATTTTGAAAGTGCTAGGATTTGGCCTTTTCTTCTTGTGGGGAATGCCAGTGTTATAATTAAGAATCAAAACAAAGCCCCATGTTCCCTCTCCTCATGTTTTTTGTATCAGAGGTATAAAAGCAATCCCTTGGAGTGTACATATGGCTGAGAAATGTCTGTGCAGTCCTCTAACATAAACCATTTGAAAACAGGAAATTTTACTGTTGTTCCTCTGAAACTAAATAGGCCT